CACCCCGTGCTCCTTCGCTTGCACCGCAGCCTCCCCACCCCGCACAGTCGTGTGCAGGAAGGGAGAGGAGGAAAGAGAAGCTGGGGGAGGCTCTGCCCTGCGGCCCTTTGCGGAAAACATCAGCGCCTTTGATGGTGAAGGTTGCAGAGGCTGGGCAAAGGATCTTGGAGCAGGGGTACGATGACTCCAGCGTGGCTTACGGCAGCCCAGATACATGGGATTTCACTGTGGGTTAGGGGAGTCTACCCCTCAACTTCTCCAGAGCCATCATGACCCCTACGGATGCACACAGTCTGGTAACTTGTCAGCCAGATAAGCAAATAAATGTTTTCAGAGAGCTTGTGCTACTCAGAGTGCTATATGTATTCTCACAAACACCTGTATAAGTGCACATCTATTCGCGCAGCGTGGTTTTGCCGGCAGCTTAGAAGTGAGGCAGCCGTTACACGTAGTTCAGCCACGCAGTGTCTCTGCAAGCTAGCTTTAGGCTGACGTGGTTCAGCCAAGGCATTTTTACATCAAACTGTTCTGTGAGCATCAGTAACTCCTTCGCAGAGGACAACGATTTAAGACAGCGTGCCACCGAGGAAAACGTGCAAACCACTCAACCGCTTAAACCTTTATTTCCAGCAATTTGCAAGCGATGAGCGTTGCCGCTCCAAGCTGCAGCGTTTGTTCTCTCACATACTGGGAGTGCACTAAAGGTCCGCCGGGGAAGAGCATGTCATCGCTCTGGTAGTGGCGAGGTGTTGAAGGAAGGAAGGGCACAAATGCATAGGAAATCCAGCTTTACTTGTCCCACAGAAACAAAATTCTCGGGAAACGTGTTCATCGTCTGCTTATACAGACGGGTCAACAATACGTTTATAAGTAGCAAGATCGCTGTTGTAGTTAATTTTACTGGCAGTTCTGTTTCTGTTGGGGGACTTTATAATCAAGAAAAGCATTTTCTCGGTAATAAAAGTGATCATTTAGATGATTTTTTTTTTTGTTTGACTTGTGTGCCAGCAACTTTTTTACAGTATAGAATAGAATTTAAATGTCAGAGCCAATAATACAAGCTAGAGTTCTGATGGCCTAACAGTCAGTTTATATTCCTTCCTTCCCCTCCAGATTTAAATATGTTAGAGCTTCCCTACATAACCCCCCAATTATCTGAAATTATAACAATTATTATTATTACAATAATTATAAAATTATTATTATCATCATCATCATCAAATCATACTAGTTAAAGGGGAAATTAACACTGAGAAGTGTGCCTGCACACCGGTACATTGGTCATATGCCGATGTAATTAGACCAACGAGCTTCAGAGGGCTAAACACGTGGGGGGGCGGTGTTTACCAATTCAGGTTCATGGGGTTTGCTTAAATTCTCCATAATGAAATCTGCTTTTTGCTAATACTAACACAAGTAAGAAATTATTTTGAAAATACTGTGAGCAGATTTAAATAAATTGTAATAATAATTCAGAAGCAAAAATATGAATAATGCACATAGACCCTTCTCTGGACACTGCTCCTGAAAAAAAGAAAAAAAGAAAACATTCTTAAGCTGTTGTTGTTTTTCCCATAAAGCCTTTAATTTGAAACATTTCTTTCTCTTCCCTAGCAGGACGTAGATGAATTTGTATATGAAAGGTCCCAGCTGGCATGTGTCCCAGAAAGTAACAAGGAAAACAAACAAAACATCTTAGATAAAACATAGTATGTGTTTATTGAAAATTTGCAAGAGAAAGAAGCAAGATATATATTTTCATTATTAACCAAACAACTGAAGTGGTAACTACAAAACAAAACACTTCAACATTTCATTTATCAAAGCTTCACGTCTACCTGGCAAAATAGATATCAGTCTGTTTTAACCATTAAGATTGAAAATAAGTATTTTTAAAGAAATGTCAAGTGTCCTTAAAAACTACATTAAAAATATGTTATCATTCATAAGTTGAAAGTGATAGCCACAAAGGTGCTCATTCGTTTGTGGGTTTTATCGCTTCTTACTTTCAGGATCAAAATAAAGATTATGGTAATCTCCTCAGCAACTGATATATATCCATTTCAAATACAATCTAGATAGAATAGTATTTTATTTTATGAAAAGAGTACTTTTTCAGACATCTTTCAACAATTTAATAAACACAAAATCGTTTTCACCTCCATCTACAGGGAATTGCAGTAAGTAAAAGCATGCTTCACATATAAGATGAAGATAAAAACACACAGATTTCCTCTGTGCTTTAAAGAGTTACCTAAAATGGCTGTGCTGCAGAATTATGTCAGTAAACCACTAGTTTTGCCAGCTTTCGCCTGCGTTTCATTCATTTGCTTACTATTTTGATTCGGTTAGCTAAATGAAGGCAGAGAGACTGGAAGTGTGTTAGGTTTTGTTGATAGATTTGTCTACATAAGGACACTTGTTAGCACAGCCAGGTTGATCAGGAACAAGGGAAAAAGGTGAAACAGCCTAACTAGCAAAACTGTAAAAACTATAACTCCACGTATGCATGAAGTTTAAAAGTTGGTGTGACATCAATTTTATAGATCAAAGTGTCACAGACTCATTCTAAATGATTCTGAAAACTTTTGTACCTATTCTCCCCTTACAGAAATTATGAATAATATGGTTCTTAAAAAAAACAGCCTGCCAGACTAATGCCTTTAAAGGCTCCTAGAGCAGGACCTAAATTTTCAAGAAGAGAAACAAAATTTGCGTCAAATTCCAATTCCCGAGAAGAGCTAAACAGCATTTCAGTAATAAATAAATAAATAAATAAAATCAGCATGTGTTCCTCTCAGTTTTATTTTTTTTAAACAGTGGTTCACCAATGTACATATTCTTTTCATGATATATTTTGAAACTAAGAATGAATTTTCCATCTATAGCTGCTTTCATTTTGCTAGAATTCAGACATAAATGCAAAGTAACATCATTAAAATTTGTAACCCTTTATACAAATTCATCTTTTCCTTAAACAGTATAGACAATACAGAAAGATGCTTAGGAAACCCAACATGTATGGATGGAAATGAAAATTTCTTTATTCTTATCTATCAGATGGATTAAGTGTTTTGGCTATGTTTGAAAACAGGAAAAAAAAAGTTGTTCAGTGACTCAAATGTTTACAAACAAAATCTTTCCATTTTTAGCTTACATTAAACTTGATTTCTTTGTTGTTTAAAATAACTCCTGGAACTAAATGCTTATCCAACCTTTATGAAAGCAGGTCGGATAGTTCAATACCATCCCCAGATGTTTTAAATACATCTTTGATGATGCAAAGCTCAAGGTGAGAGAGCGACGTCAGGTAAGGGATAGTAGGATTGCAATGTCTCAACAAAACGTTCATTAGAAGATTTTCTTTTGTCAGAACGATAAATTAGAAAAAAAATTGCCAGATCTGCGGGCTGAATGTCACCAACCAAAGGAGCATGTGATCAGAGGGCAACTCTTCTGTCAGTGGATTACACTGTAGCCCCACCTGAAAAATGAAGATTGAATGTTGAGCGTTTCCACCACGGATGCCCTCTGCCAGTTCTTCTGGGCTTTTTTTGCTCCAGTCCTTCTGAGGCAGCAGGGGAACCACGTATCCCCAGGGACATACGGACAGCCTTCCCCATTTGTCTCACTCCCCATTTCCACAGGATCACTGACCTGGTGCTTTAGTTACACCCCAGCCAATGGAAACAGAAGAAAATAAGTGATTGTCAGACCCTGAGGGCACAAACAGCCTTCACGGCCCTGACCTGCCTCCCCCGGGGTATCCTGGGCCATGCTCCGGCTGGATCTCCTGTGTGTAACCCTGCCCAAGCCTTCCCCCGGCACCCGGCCAGCAGCAGCCATCCTGGAGCCCGCTATGGCAGCCCCAGGCCAAGGCTTTCTGAAGCAACGGGGGATCCCAGATCTCTCAGAAATGTCTGTGAGGCTTCACACACCTCCTTCATTCCACTCATGTCTTAGTTAGTCCCATTATGGAACAAACAACATGAATTAGAGGTTTAAATTGACCTCTCTGGCACCTAAGGTTCCCGAAGAGCCAGGAGCCGAGGGAGCCCAGGCCATCCCCTCCCCAGTGGTAGGCACGCACAGAGGGGTGGCAATGGCAAACGGGCCCCATGGATGGGCCAGCCATTGTCAGATGAAGACATGGCAACCGGTCCACCCAAGGCCGAAACAGGAAACCCATGCAGGCATCCGGGCTCATGGCTGGGGCAGGCATGACGGGGGGTGATGCAGGCCAGGGTGGGAGGCCCACCCAGGCCAGAGCTGAAACGGTGGCCCTGGCCGGAGGACACATGGGGATGCCCCAGGCAAGGCTGATCTGCGCCACGCAGGCTGGTTTCCACACACAGGGCCATGACAGTGAGTCACCTCTGTGGTGGCAGAGACCTCACGTCACGTAATTTCCTTCATAAAGTGATGTACATACATCTTCTTGGCATGTTATGGCTTCCTATACTTGTCCTTGTCGAAGAATATTAATTACCAGTATCTCTTACAGACCAGCGAGGCTTTTTACGACAAGATTTTCAAATGCCCTCATCCCTGACCTATTTCTGCCCCCACTGAAATTGTTTGTAAATCTGCTCCAGCCCTAAATCAACTGGAAACCAATTTGGTCTTACCATGTGGCTTGAAACAGAGTCTCTTGTTCTTATAAGCAGAGTAGGCCGCTATCGATCCAACAACTAATATTACGAAAGCAGAAATTATAGGAGATGTAACTCCAGCTATTAATCCTGAATCTGTGGAAGAAGAGAGATTTTCTTCAGAGGTGCTGAAATGGTTTGACTTAAGCATATTCTTTACTAACTTGTGCTTTTGCCCAACTATGAGAATTGTTTGGTGAAACACTGGGAATTCATTAAATGGAATTAAGCAGAAGACTAGAAATTATGTTACATTACAGCGGGTGTGAAAACAGTGTCTTAAAGCCTAATTTAGTATATGTACTACTTTAAATGGCTAACATTTTCTTACTATTTTATCATGATTGGAAACAAATTACAGAATAAATTATTTACTATACCCGTATTTCCTCCACGATTGAAATTATGTTCCTCTTCTCCTGGAATAGAGGGTAAAGTTTCATCATGAAATGTTTTTCATCTTGTTTTGACAACAAAATCTTTACTCAGCAAAGTGTGATTTTGTACAGAAGGTGAAAGGGGGTGGCCCGGCAGGACTGCGAGAGAGGAGCTCCCCTTCCAGTCCTGACTGACAGCTGTGCTGGCCAGAGGTTCTTCCATCCTTCCGACACTTTGGTTTTGGAGAATAATATTGTCAATACAGTCTACATCAAGGTTCCAGTCCTGACTGACAGCTGTGCTGGCCAGAGGTATAACCTTCCATCCTTCCGACACTTTGGTTTTGGAGAAGAGTATTGTCAATACAGTCTACATCAAGGTGATTTCACAGGGAGTGGGAGGCCAGTATACCCTGGCTATTCTCTACTGCCAGACAATCAGATGATTTATCAATAACTTAAGTCAAGATCATAGGCCTGCTGTATCTACTTGGTCCCTTGCTTTGGGACTGTCCTAGCTAAATTCAAAGGAATTAATCCTGCAAGGTTTTGGCATGGCCAGAATGCTGCAAAATGTTCAGGAATATGTTTCAAGTTTGAGTTTCAGGATCAAAGCCTTGGTAGCTAAATTCAAAGGAATTAATCCTGCAAGGTTCTGGCATGGCCAGAATGCTACAAAATGTTCAGGAATATGTTTCAAGTTTGAGCTTCAGGATCAAAGCCTTGATTTGTGGAAAAGGATAACTATTCTAAATAAAAATAGCAGAGTCTAGTCCTATACCTTCAGTGACAGCTTACCACTGAAGCAAAACCAGCCAGCTCTGAGTGACAAGTATTAGGGAGAAGCTTCAAGGAGAATTGGCAAACGGTACCTGCTATGTGCGGTGGTAAAGGCTTCCCATCAAGAAGATCTAAGTCATCAAAACCTCCTGCAAAATAAAGATTAGGATTTCTGTTGCAAAATTATCTGAGCAATGGTAAGCGCTTCAGCTCCTTTGTCCAATCTTTTTGTGAGGTACTAGGGAGGGGTGAGGGACCTTTGAAATCCCAGCTGGGGCATGGTGGATGGGTCAGGTGTCTTGCACTGAACAGTCACCTATTCAAATTCACCTGGCAGCTGGAGTACTAAAACTGTTGGTGTCTACTCATCCTGCATCTGTATTGGCACCTGCGGGATGTGTGGGCTTGAGCTCTCAGTAGCACAAATCATTATATAATATAGACATCTCAAATCCCAGTGGTTCCTGGACCAGGAATTCAGTGGGTCCTTTCCAGGAGAGACTCCAGAAGGACTCCAGAAGGACCTGTCCATGGCTTACCACTACAATCACACCAGAAATAAATGCAGGATACATGGTGGTAGCTGGGATAGATGTGCCACTTCCACTTTATGTAAGTGGATGTCTGGGACCACACTGAAAAGCAATACAGGCTTACAACCATCTGCCCAGTCCCACCTGTTGTATGCCCCAGGGCCATCTCAGATGCACATCTCAGTATGGATTTGAACATAGGCTTATCCACACCCTGTGGCTAGATTTCAAAGTTGAACCTTAGCATGATTCAGTGTATACATACCCAAAATGAAAAGGCAAGCAAGATGAGTGTTAGTCTCATGCAACTTAAGAGTCAGCATCCCACATTTTGGGCAGATGGAAAAGCTTTATGGTATCAACACTAAAATTCAGAAAAATCTTTCCAAACACTGGGTCAGCAACAGTGATTACAAAAGGGAGATGGAGGGGAGGGATAATACAAACTATTAATAAAGAAATAAGGGCGTAAACTATTCAAAATATCTGCTCTGAACAGCTCATGGTGCTAAATTTTCTCAGGAGAAAATATTCTTACCAGAATTACCATGGCTTCCCGGTCGTGGTGGAAGAGGTGGGTATAAAGGTTTTCTTGGGATGTCACCTATTGATAATTAATATTGTTAGATGGTTGGACAGGCAAACCTGAGAGCTGTAAATAAAGAGTATGATAACAGTTTTTATACCAGTTTCTAATTTGTCCTCTGGTGAATTAAGAAAAGGACCTTGTCACTGGTTAAAAAGTCTCAAGCACTATATCAGCAAATAGCTAGCTACTAAAACTAATTAGAAAGTGAAAAGGGAATATTTTCACAATTAAAATGAGAGAAAAATTCACAAAAATGTTGAAGGAAAATATTTCATGTATTTATGGCAAGTGCTAACATTGTTTAATGCTGACAGCTGGGAAGCCCAGTGTGTTACTGTAGGTGTCAGTGGTGCGGTTATGCAGAACCGACAGAGCAGTCGGTGTTCTGGGCCCAGCAGGAGGCAACAGGTTATCTCTGTGCCATCAGCAGGTATTACTAAGATCTGGAGATTAGTTTCATCTAACAGACGCTGAATTCATCTACCGGGTGATGAATTTCCTACTCTTGAACAGTGCAAAATGAGCTCAGACTTCAGCTTTGCTGTTTAGGACATTGTGCTGGTATTTGGCCTTAATTTTTGCCAAAGCATGAGGACAAGATGCATTGGGTAGAGCGGGATATCCGATGACTAATAGCAGTTTCCAAACCACACAGACAGTGCTGGAGTAGCAAGACCTGACTCGGGTCAAAACCTGCCAGAGTTAATGCCCAGGGCTGTTGCTCTGCATATATAGGGTAGGTCCCCTCTTGCCATCCTTTCTCTAACCAGTTCAGTCACACATTCAACCATTCTCATAGCCAGACAGTGAATTTAGCTCTGAATAAATAAAGTTCAGCCACAGAAATAAATACCAATTCCCGTCCCTCTCCTTATCTTTCTTTCACTTTCCAGATGCCCTTTTATCAGGTTTTCTTCTTGCCTAGATGCTAAATATAATGCTTCTGTTTGTGAGGAATGTTTGGGTTCTGATTCAGCAAATTATTCGGGTATATGCTTAACTTCAGGTGAGTTTAGCCTACTGCAGTCAATGGATTTTAGGTAGAATCTTAAAGCTTTGCTGAAACAGGCTTGGCCCAATTAATTCTATTCAACAGGAGAAGAGACTTGTTCTGTTCCAGAACTGCATGTAACGAACTAAGACTCACTGTGGCACAAAAGCAGAAAACTATCAATGCCATTATTCATTTCTGTTATGATGCTGCACTTATTCAGTCTTCTCTAAGCAGATATATTCTATGGCATAGCTAGTGAAAAAATAATGTCTTCAGGACTATTGATGATGAGGTACATATCATTAATCCCATTATACCCTGTATGAATGTCAGTCAAGAACCTGAACTGAAAAAGGAACAAAGAAATAAAAACCAAGAAACACATAATTTGCCATTTGCTGAATGAAAAGGTGGGGTTTAGTGAAGATACTTAGGCTATTCATTAATAATAAAAAACCCATCCTCTCATAAAAGTACTCATTAAAAACTTGCAGGAATAGAACAATTAGTACAAGCGGGAAGAAATAACAGTAGAAATATGGGAATTATAAACAAAATTAGATTCAGCTTTATAAGTGTGGACTAACATGTCATTCAAACGCAGGCATGAAATGCCACAGGAGAACCTGGAAATGCGGAAAGCCCTGGAAATGGGGAAGAACAACCTGAAAGTTATGATACTCTAAGACTGAAACATGAGTAAACCAGACACTGAAACTGGAGTCATAATTCAGAGGTTCTGTGCAATGGGCTGAGAAGTAATTTTGCTTTTGTGTAGCCTTGATTCAAGTGGAATTTTAGGCTTTGATTCCATACTACTTGCACTTCAGGTAATTTCAGCGTGCAAGAACCTTTCTAGAGTAAATTACAACCTTGATATACCTCCAAGCACACTAAACAAAATGTGGTGCAAAAATTCCCAAAGTCAAGGATTTCATATGTCTACACAGCTCGGCGCAGTATGGAGAATGCTTCCTGGGTCAGGACTGCATGTTATAGAAATACTTGGAAGTTACAGCAGGTTACAACAGCTTGACTGCTTCAAGCCTAAGCTATAATCATATCCTTCAGTGCTCATCTCTGAAACATTCCTTCTTGCATTTCTGATTTGGGATCAGCAGAGCTACAACAAGCTCACACCTCTCTCTATCCACCGTTCCCTCTGATTCCTCATCTCAGGCAGGCTTGGTTTTGGTAGCTGAAGAAACTGCTGCCATCACCCATGGTCTTCAGCCTTCTGCCAGAGGCCAGCACCCTGAACCATCACAGCTGAATGGGCAGCATGTCCTCTCCCCAGCCGTGACTGTGGCAGCCTGGCACGGGAATGTAAACCGTAGCTGGCGTGGCTCACACGGGTAGGGCCAGCCTGCAAGCTCCCCATAGCTGGCAACCAGGAGCAGCCCGTCCTGCTGTGTCCCCCCCACACACACGATGGCCTCTGGCAAAGGGGCTGCATGGACGTGAGTGGTAATGACCCCCATTACTACAGTTCCTCCTACAGCCTTGAAATCTCTTTTCACAAGTTAGGCAGGCTTCAGGAAAAGACTGCAAAAAACCCCAACCGTTATATCTGAGAAAAGAAGAGAGTACTCACCCCCACCAAGAGCATCTCCTAAATGCAGATCATTGTCTAAAAATGAAAAAGAGGAAGATGTAGAGAAGTGAGTTGCACACAATTCTTGAGGGAAGCGAGATGTTAGTTTTAATAGAAAATGTACAACTGAATGTGTGATAAGCAACTTTTTCAGGTCAGTCCCACAAATTCAAGTAAGGTATTACACTTTTCTTGAAAGCTCTTATAGAACTTAGCATTTGCCCACACAATAATTGACAAACGATACAGTATTTTCTACTCAAAACATGAAAGATTTGTTCCTGCTATAAATAAGCTCAGAACAAATCTCATAATGGAATCAAGATCAATATTTCTTTAATATATTTGCAAATACATAAATAAAATTAGTTATGTTAAGATATTAAAATGTAGCTATTTTTAAATATACTTGTTTATTAACATTTATGTCTGTGATTAAAAGCAGTATGTGCATGTTTGGCTCAAGTGTAATTTGCTGAACTGCAAAAGTTGAATACCCATTTCAAGAATAAATACTGGGAAGCAATAGACCTGCTTAGGGAGAGAGAATTGAATCAACTAATTTATGTAAGGGTCACGGTGACATAAAAATATTTGCTTCAAGCACTCATACGCGCCTGTCTGAGGTTGGGTGACAGTCTGTTTTTCTTTGGCTGAGCTATAAAGGTTTTAAAATACGCTTAAATGTCTGCATGTGCGTGTTATGCAGTGAATCAACAGGCTATTGCCATTCCCCCAGTGCTGTACATGTGTCTCGCTGTACCTGGGATGGAAATTTCCTTCCAATAAACAACTTATCAGTGAGCTGCAGATGCATAAACGAGAGGAACTCCATTTCCAATGCGCAGGTGTGGATATGAGTATGTGGGTGATATTTTAGGGTGTGTATGGAATGACGGTGAGCTCTGAAAGGTCACTGAGTAATCGGCAGAAATACATTAGATGGATGTCATAACTCCAGGGATCCCTTTCGTGCTCCTTATAAATATGGAGTGCTGGAATGAATCAGCAGGGACAGCAAAATCTACCTAAATTTTGATACTGATGCTTATTGCCACAGAAAATTAGACAGACGCTCAATTAAATATATTTTTTTTCATTATAATTGTGTCAGAATTCCCAAAACCCAGGAAAATCCATCCAAGTGCAGAAGTCTGCCTTCATGTGTTCTTTATACCCAGAGGGAGTGGGAAGATGCTTTTGAGGAGTATCTAGTCTCATTTGTGTAACAGCTCAGAAATGCTTTGATGTCACTAGGAAATCTGGCAGGAAAATAATCAAATTCATGACTCGGTTTGTTCTTGTCAAGCCAGGTGTTGATCCAGTCTGTGCCTGGCCAGCAGAGAGTTGCATTTCAAAAATACCTTTGTGTGTCAAACACTAACACTCTAAGAAGCAATAAATTGCAAACTGAATAATTTTATTATCGAGATGAAGAATTTGAGTAAAATGCAGGGCTCCACTCTGGAGGGTTCCTGCAGAGATCTGTTGCAGAAATGCTAAGGTTGATGCGAGTGAAATACAAATGGACATGTGCATGTCTGCAGGGACCAGAAGAAAGACCAGAGCAAAGGGTTAAAAGAACAGACAGTAAAGGTCACCATTCCCAGCAGTAAAATTGAGGAATGTGTTGTTTCTGTCAAAACCAGAAGGCCTGTGCTCTGATAAGACGACGGCACAGATGACTTGTCAGCAGAGGAAAAGCAGAAGGGCACTCTAAAGCCAAAGGTTGCAGCATATCACCTATTTCATCATTTTTCCTGTTTGCCCAGCCAGCAAATAGACTGTAGATATAGTCTGAGTACCCCAAACAAGCAAAACCAGACAGTGGGCAGCAACCTGGCCTAAGGTTCAGAGACGCTGAAGTAGGCAAGATTACGAGGCAAAGGACCTCGCCATAATACCTGATGATTCCTAAAGGGTATAAAAGATCTGTATGTAAACTCGCTTGTCATTTCTCATCAAGAAGAACCCCAGGGATGGGATAAGGACTCAGTAGCTGGCCTACCTTGTCCCGTGTTGCACATGATGCTCACCAGACCACCTGAGCACACACATCTTGGTGCTCATGACCATGCGGGTTTGGGTGTGTGGCTGAATTAAATCAATGGCAGGGTGAATGTGAGTGAGTAAAATCAACTTGTTTAGAGATTTTGTAAATAAACATCACCTTCTCCTTCCATTAAATTTTGCATTGAACTTTGTTACAGTAGAAGGGAGGTGCCTACAGGAGAGCTTCAACTCAGGCAGACGTTTCTGTGTGGGAAGCGATGCCCAGAAGACATGCACAGTGCTTGTCCCCAGCTCAACCAAAATCATCATCTCAGCCAGCCTCGTTTCTCAATGATACTGGACGAATGAGACATAGAGGAAGCCCTGAGGTTAAGATGAAGCATCAGGCAGGTGCCAGGACATACTTTTGTATCATCTTTCTGCATGTTTTCAAATCCAGTAACTGATTTTCGATACAGGCTTTTTAAATTAGTTCTAATTGCATTTAAACTCCTTGCAGTCCTCTTCCATGCTGACAGAGAATCCAAAATGATCTGGAAAACATGGAGTTCTTCATTCCTAAGAATTAATGAAGTTGATTCAGGTAGGGCAGATAATCATCTGAAGCTCGTATCTTTGACAGATTTAGGAATCCCTAAAAATCAAATTCCTTTCACCTGACTGAGGCAGCTTCACTGTAGATATTGGCATCCCTAGCTTACCTTTAGACATGACTGAGGACAGACTCTTTTAGGGCAGGATTCAAGTAACCTACTTAAAATGTCTACATTAGGATAAGAACAAATTCACATTTAGAGTGCTATGAACCATCCCTAGACACGCTGATTTCTCTCCGCAGACTTTAAAGTAAGTCAGGACAGTTAGCTAAGCAGAGGACAGCGGCTTAGCAGTATTTTACCACAGACACTTCTAATCTAGGCCAAACACAGGTTTTCATTGCAAAATGAAGTGGGAAGGAAGAATGCAACCATTACAGGATTTAGTAGCTACGACATTTGCAAAACGCTGCCTTGTTTGTTCAGCAAACAAGAGAGCAGGCCAGAGAGTCGTGTGGAAAATGTAACTGCTTTCGCATACCTAAAGACTTATTGGAATGTTTATCCAGAAAAAGACTGAAAGTTGTTGTGTGGGCTAATGCTACCCAGAATTTCCTGATCCAAGCATTTTCTTTGAGAGCCAGAAATTTCTTTCAGTGTAGTTTATCTGAAAAATCTCAACAACAATCTTTGTTGTTGTTTTGGGGGGTTATGTTTTTTCAACAATAACCAGTGTGCATTGGAAATCATCATTTGTCATCCTCAGGATTACAGCTAAAACCTCTCCGCTGTTCAGAGCCTTTTTTCCTTTCTGGCAGAGGTCTTTGCAGCAATCAATACTAGATAATGTTAAGTAAGTACATGGGGAGAAGAAAGAGTACCCAAATTCCTTCTGACTCTTTTCCAAGTCCATGGTATCAAGCATCATGAATATTTATGCTAAAAGAAAAGATAATGGGGAAAAAAAAAGTAGAACAGTTACCCATTTTTAGCAACAGTTACCCATGGTTATACTCCCCAGGGAGTTCAATACAGGCTGGAAAAAGTGTGAAGGAAATGAAATGCCATCAGCTGCCAGTCACGCTCTTAAGCCTTACTGGAAGCAGTAAAGACATGTAATTGGTAATTGTCCAAAACCCGCTCACTTTACAGACAGAAGACAGTATTCACACAAATGCAATTATGATCAGAAATCTCATGGGAGACAGTTTCTACTTATCTAAAATCAGTTCTGACCCGTTGTCTTCATCACTTACTCAGCACAGGCCTTGCCGGTCTTCTGGTCACCGTAGGCTTCCTGGTAATTATGTCCTCTGTGGGACGCAACGACATACCAATAAACAATAACAGCTTAAGCTTTTTCATCTGATCAAAAGAAGGTATCTGCGAATCTAGAGCACGGCATTCAACAGAGCTTTACGTATCATGACAGAAGCTAAAAATGAAGGGTATGTTTTCAAAGCCATTTTTTTGTTTGTTTTAAAGAAATTACTAATTTTATGACAGAAGCATTGAAATCTATCATTTCCCAGTTCTGTATATCTTTAACTTAGGTACTAGCCACTTCTCACTCCAGTCGCAAAGGAAAAGGACTTAAGATTGATTATTGGGTCTAAATGCCATAGTAAAATAGAGATAGGAGAGTTACCTACCTGGGTGATCAAGAGCATCAGCTAAATCAAAATCACGTTGACCTAGGAGGAAGGTGACAGAAGGAAAGAGACTAAGTCAGCGGGCAGGTTTCCACGACCTCCAGTTCTGGGGGCTCTGGGCAGAGCCAGAACACCAGTAAGAGGCAAAAGAAAAACCCATCCAAACAGGGGCAGGCGCAGAGCAAGCTGTCAGCTGCTGTCCCTGCACCGCGCGGTCCTGCACGACCGTGCGAGATGGACTCGTGTAATTCAAAGAAGCGATTCATTCGGGTAGCACAAAGAGAAGCTGCGCTCTCGTGTCATCCGCGCTCAGCCGCCGGGCAAGCGCGCCTCTGAGGACCACGGGTTGCCTGTTACAGGGCACAAGGGCTATTGCCAGGAGGCGGCTGGAAGTCGCGTTCAGCACGGTACTTCCAAACCAGAATCATTAGGTGAGAACTTTTTAATATCTTCGTTATCATTTTACTAGCTCAGCTTCGGAGAGAAGCTTTGCTGGCAAGCCTGCCTGGTGATCGCTTGTAATGTGAATCAACTTTTTTCTTTTTTTAATTCTTCCTGTAGCACGTGCCGGCAGTAAAAGATACAAAGATGTGTTTACCTGATTTAGTTTCCGCTGTAGCTTAAAAAATCTGAAAGGGAGAAAAGAACCCGTCCTGTTCTGTGTTAGGTGACGATGATGTCATTAAAAGTCACGTCAGGGCAATCAGCATCCTGACCTTTGAAGCTAGCAGGTAAATAAAACTGGAATATGTTTAAAATATATAAACTGAAGCGTACGACTTTGAACTGAACAAACGCAGCCATTCATGTGAGTTTTACTTTCCACCCTCTGCAGTCTGCCACTTCCCTTTCAATACACAGCCTTCATGAAACACCTCTTTGCAGAGCGTGTATCCATTAGTTCATCCAGACTAAAACTTCACCATCCTTGTGTTTGCACACCAAATACAAGATCAGCCTGCACAAACCCACAAAATGTCACGACGTGACATGGTTTTCCTAAGCAGAAATGCTTTACGGTGCTCTATCGAGTAAGCCTCTTGCTCTGCACCTATTTATTATCCCGTCCAAAAGGCTTAATACCTAACTCTTCGAGGAAGTGTTTTTCTTGGTAAGTCTTGAACACTTCACAGCAAGAAAGGCATCATTGCTCCAGTGGGGAAACTGAGGAACAGAGAGGGGCCATCACAGGTTCTCCAGCGCAACAGCACTCAGAGTTCAGCTCAGCCCTCTCTTTTCGACAGGTGCTGTCCATCTTCACGGCATTCTTCACATTAATTACTGCTCCTGAATAATAGCCCTCGCCTGTGTCAAAGAGCTCCTGGAAAGATTAATTATCAGTGGTAAAATGCTGTGTGATCCTCAGATAAAAATCGGCGCAGCAGCATAAACGTTTTGATTCCTTTGAGGATTTTTCACATAAGTCTGTGAGCTTAATTATAGCTGGTGTCTGATGGAAAAGATAAAATGAGGCTGGAATGCAAAATAGTGAATGGCTTCTAATTCTAAAGCAAAACTGTCCCTATAAAATATTATCACAAACCTGTGTTGGGAAAGAAAAAGCAGATAACAGCATAAAGCTTTTCCATTAATATTATTAGAGTAGAATTTTATCTCTTATTTGAACTGATCTTTGAGTGTCACCTCATCCGACCACCTCTCCTTCCCCTGCCCTGGCCGCTCAGCCAGCCCAGCTAAGTCCACCTTTGGACCGGGTCCTTAGATGGATAATATTCCAAGACCCTGACAGGTGTTTTTTTTTATATGTGAATCCATTAAAATACATAAACACATAGAATTGATGAAAGGCTTCCTCAGAAGATATTCTGAGCTCTGGGAATATCACCAGCCCTTACTGGCCCTGAGCCCCTGCCCGTGGGCTGTCACAGCCGTGCTGCTGCCCAGCCATGGGACCATTTGATCCCAACGCAGACCACTACCCACAGGCTGACATCCTAGCATTGCCTCAACTTACATGGTCAAATTATACTTTTCTGAAGCGTTTCTTCAGTGCCAACAATCCAAGCAACTTAAGTTTGAACGTCCTTTGATTTTGTCCTCTGGATAAATCCTCATTCTTGATTGGCATCCTGAGTGCTGAAGGAGGCTGGCTGACCTGAGCCCTGCTGCTGCAGGACACTGCCGGCAGGATTCAAACCGTTTCTCATCAGAATGAGTCATCAGAAATAATTTTGTAATGCTGAAGGGCTGTTGGCCAAACCAGTTCCTTTGTTATGGGCCCTGACACGCAGGAACTGGTGATATGGAAAGCAGCTACCAAGGTCCTAATGCTGTAAAGAGAATGTGACAAAATCGTCTTGTGAAGGAAGACTCTGGAAAACTTCCAGGTACAATATTTCTTTGAAGTTAGGGAAAAGAAAAAAATAGGAAGAGGAACCTAATCAAGAGAAATTATGGAATTCAAACAAGATGACGCAGATGCTTCCAATTGCATGAGAACCAATGAAACGCAGCATACTGGAACAGTTACTAACATCTGCCCTTCTCCCGGACAATACCAACGTTTCCTTCCCCTGCTGTATGGCTGCTCTGCTAGTGAAAAAGTGGGAAAAGACAAGAGGTGTTCTTCTGAGACAGCAAGGGGGAAATAGAAGACAACTACAGAAATTTTAAGAAGAGAAAAAAGAAGCCTGGAAATCCCATGCAGAAATTATTCAGAATTGATTTTTTTTTTTTAATTATTTCTCATGATAAACCAAGTAATAAAATAAACAGACACCAACACAGAATGACTGGTTTGGAGTAAGACAGGAATCTACACTGAAATCTTTTTGGCTGTGTAAATATAAACCCTGACAGATGGGCCAATTGTATGTGGGCATCTGTGCAGCACGGTAAATGACATTCCAATAAACCAAAAGATTGCGTGGACTTCCATCCCGACTTCCTCCGATAATAACATCAAATGACCGCAAGGAGTAAAATTTTGTGGAGCAGAATTTTAAATGCTCATTACCATTTCTGAGACTGCACCTAGACATTTTAAGAATCTAATTTGGGAGGATAACAGATGGTTAAATAGCTGAACAGCCCAGATTTCATCCGCAAAATGGTGGGTCTAAAAACAAAAACACATTAGAGACTCGGAGAATATTTAGCTCAATAGGAACTGCAGTCACTTCAGGGAACTCTGAAGATAAATGACAACAGAAATAAATTAGTCAAGCTTCTTCACAGTACAAACAGACTGAAAGAAATTCATTGTCTGCATATAAAAATGGCCTTTTTTTGGACGAGCTTCCGTAATAGAAACAGCTGGACATATACTGATGAAAATGAGAATGAAAGAAATTTTAGTGGGGAGAAAACAGCTTTGTTCCTTTGGGTTTTTTTATTTGGTTGGTTTTTTGTGTGTGGTGGTTGGTTTGTTGTTGGTTTTTTTTAGCCTGGATAAAGTTGTGAAGAGATTTAGCTATGCAGGAGGTATTATCTCAGAGTTATCTCTGTTATTATTGCTTTGGGCTGGCATGCTATTTCTTGGCATCACTTCTAGCCTTTCTTCTGGGAGTATCCCTGTTTTTACATAGAAATAAAATTATTGTATTAGTGGGTTTTGTTGGGTGGTCCACAACGATTCATAACAGAGAATTTGAGAAAATGCTTATAAGCTCCTGCCTGGCATCACAGAACAGTCCTTATCCGCAAATGAGAAAATGCTAAGCTAAGAAAACGAGCCTTCCAGATGGATATACAGTTTGTAACATGAAAGGACGTGTTTTAATTACGCTTATTACTAGCTGCTCAAACACAATGAGCTATACTAACAGCAGGACTCTTGCTGGTACTGTCAGCCTTATTTGGGATGTAATTCCCTCATCTCCACCCAACACATGTAGCTGTGCCTATAAAAATCTGAGCTGTAGACCCGGCCAAAATAGCTAACAGTAGATAGATCTCTCTGTAGCAGCCAGTCAGGGGAGAATAGACTCCATAAAGCCAAGCATCAAAATATAGCAGCTTAAATTTCAAAATTACTACATTTATTTTTACAGGCATGATTCTTTCGGGTAGGACATTTGCTTTCACTAATGCCCATACTTTTTATGAGCCTTTTAAATATAACATGCAGAAGGCTGGTGATACAAAATCCTTGTTAGTTCGCTTGCTCTGTTATGGAGACTGTTAACGGCCGATGTTTGCCACAGAGACACTACACCATCTTTTAGTAACTTCCCTAGAATATGGAGCTGACGTTGTCTTACCCCACCCAGGCAGTCCCCTGCAAAGTTGTGTCCTCAGACACATGCACATTTAATGTTCGCAAACTTTTGCCCATATTAGTTTTCCGAAAATGTGACCCAAATATCCAGTCACTAAAATGCAGATAGGAGCACCTTTCACCTATGGCTGAATTTGTGACCTAAATGTTAAATGGATCCATCACCCTTTAACCATGAGCTGGTTGACCACAAGGGTCTGAGGTCCCACAGTTTTTGAGGAGGGTTTATGAGGAACAAGGCTGGATTCTGCAGGTGGATTTTACCCGTTCGTCATTACAACTGTAGTCAGAAGTAACAGCACCACTCTGCAATTTTTAATCTCCATAAGCAGGCTCAGTCCTGCACTGGATCTATATGAACAGAGCTTGTGGCCATTAAAATGACATGTATTTAAATAAGACAGGATGAATATTGCTAAATGAGAGTCAGGTTATGCGGCAAATAAAATAAACTTCTCAGGTATTTAATATGCATAGTCTAATATTAAAAATGAAGCTTAGATTCATGACAAAACATATCCATAAGCGCATACGCATGTGTGTGGACATACAACTTAAATGCATACATGCACACGCATGTTAGCTAAATCCTTTTGTCATTAATATGATTAATGGCTTTGAGTGCATTGCTAGCAGTCATATGATTGGGATGAGATTACCTGTGTTACAAATAAATTGGAAGCAACTAACGTGGAAATGTGAGCTAGGTAGAGAGGGAAAATAAGTTGATTTTGCATTATTTAAAAACAAGAACAGAAATTATTTCTTCTGTGGAGTTAAATAAGAATTGTTTTGTGAATAC